CCATTCCTTCTACCAGTTTTCTGAAACCTTCTGGTTAAGTAAGCCATGTCGCTGTCCTCCTCACTTGGGTCATTGCTTTCAGCTTTGAGTACCAGGTTCTTTTCCTTCTTTGGTTATCTTCTTTCACTATCCTTCTTCTTCTTCATTTCGTAGGTTTTCAGATTTCCAACTAGCTCATCTATGGTCAGCTCCTGCAAGTCCTTTGCTTCAGTAATGGCATTCACTTCACTCTCCCATGAACTGGGCAAAACACTGAGAATTTTCCTCACGAGCTTGTTCCTAGGAATGATTTCACCAAGCGAGTGTAGATAATTTGATGAAGTGAATCTATTGTGCATGTCTTGAATGGATTTACCGTCCTTCATTCTGAAGAGCTCATACTCAGTGGTGAGCAAATCAATCTTACATTAATTTACTTGAGTGGTTCCTTCGTGTGCTATTTGTAATGCTTCCTATATTTCCTTGGCGGATTGACAGGTTGAGATCATGTTGTATTCATCAGGTCCTCCTATGCCACACACCAAAATTTTCTTGGCACGAAAGTTTTTCTCCACAGCTTTCCTATCTGCATCGTTGTATTCTTTCCTAGTTTTTGGCGTCGTCACTGGAGGGTCTCTGACCTTCTTTGTTGGGACATAAGGACCATCACAAATAACATCCCACAACTCAGATGCCATGATAAAGACATGCATTCTTGTCTTCCACCACCCATAGTATTGCCCATTGAACCTGGGTGGTCTATAGGTAGACTGACCATTTTCGAAATTTGGTGGAGCAGCTATGAGGATCTTTTCTAGGTGTTAACCTGATATAAAGAACCTGCTCTGATACCAATCGATAGAATATATGAGTCCACCAAACTATATAGAGACCAGGTCCTATATAGGTTTCCATAGATGAAGCTAATGAAACAGTAAGTAAATGGAACAAGGAACTTTTACGTGGAAAAATCCCTGCTCAAGGGGATAAAAAACCACGACCTACACTGGTAGTATTTCAACTTCACTATGAGCAATCTTTTAGATTACAACCTATGCAATCTAGGAAATAAACTCTTAATCCCTCACTAACTTGGTATACACCTATTACAAGCCACTTTGCTATACACCTATTACAAAGACTTTAACTCATGACAAACTCTAGTCACGACACAAACAGGAAAGGTTTATGGTTTTGAAGGAGTTCCTAATTAAAGCTTCTAGATAAGCAAAGTAGGAATTACAATGAAGAACAATTACAAAGTTACAACTCAACTAAGGACATACAAGATACTTGTTGTAGGAACTGGTCCGTAGTAGTGTTGTACTTTGTTCTTGATGCACTTGAGAATTGAATGTTTGATGGATAGACGGTTGGAGTGCTTGAATTAATTCTCAAGTGTTCAAGTGATGTTTTGTTGTAATGCTCTTTGTTAATACAACCTGGGTGATATCACTTGAATGATGTAATCACTTGGTTGGTCAAAGGGGAGTGGCTGTTGTACTGTGCTGCACTATTTGTGTGTACAGTGTATGCAGTCACTTTCCAGCTATAGACAGTTTACTTCGTACTACTGTCAGGGAAACGGAGGGGGATCAGGTCCCTGTCTTGATTCTTTATCTTCAGAAGTCATAGCAACTCACATTAGCTCGAGTCTATTGATTGAGTTGTGTACCAAGTGTGTTAGGTCCCTTATCTGTTTGTTTGACAGTAATTTGTTAGATCATCAAAACATAAAGCTAAGGTACTGTAAACCCATCATATCCCCACCTTTTTCCCAGCTCAGGTACTTTTCTATGTCCGTTCAAGGACGAACGGTTGTTTTAGAGGTGGAGAATGTGATGACTCAAAAGGTCATCTTGTGTTTTAGAACCCAATTCAGTGTTCCGAGGCCTTCAAAACCTTATTTTATTCCTCCTTGATTTGCATGCACAGTCCAGGCGCGTTTCTGAAAAGCCTTTATGTAGAAATTTGAGAAAAATAATAATTTTTGCCTTTAAAAATTGATTTAGTTGACTTCGGTCAACATTTTGAGCAAATGGACCCGGACTCGTATTTTGACAGTCTCGGTGGGTCCGTATTGAAATATGGGACCTGGGCGTATGCCCGGAATCGGATTCGGAGGTCCCTAGCCCAGGTAATGAATTTTTGTTAAAAATTGTAAGTCTGAAAATCTAGTGATTTAATGAAATTGAGTAATGTTTGATCTCATTGGTATTGGGCCTGTATTTTGGTTCCGGAGCCCGGTATAGGTTTAATATAATATTTAAGTCATGTCTATGAAATTTGGTGAAAACCGGAGTTGATTTGACGTGATTCGGGCGTACGGTTGTGAAAATAGGAATTTCAAAGTGTTCTTGAGAATTTCATGTAATTTGGTGCTAAATTCGTAGTTCTAGGTGTTATATTGGTTATTTTATCATACGAGCAAGTTCGTATAATGTTTTAAGACTTGTGTGCATGTTTGGTTTGGAGCCCCGAGGGCTCGGGTGAGTTTCGGATAGGCTACGGGGTGTTTTGGAACTTAAGAAAATTTGCCGGTATGCTTCAGGTTTGCAGACTTTGCAATTGCGAGGTCTGGATCGCAAATGCGAGTCTCGCATTTGCGATGAATGTTCGCATTTGCAAGCAGTAGGGCTGGGAGGGGACCTTCGCAATTGCGAAGCTCAGTATCGCAATTGCGATCAGCTCAGGCCGCATTTGCGAACACTTGTTCACATTTGCGATGTTAGCAAGCCCAGGTCAGTCTTCGCATTTGCGAAGTAAAGTTCGCATTTGCGGGGTTCGCAAATCGCAAATGCGATACCTGCAACTGTTCAAGAACGTTTTTGGACGGGCTTTTTCATTCATTCTCCCATTTTTCAAAACCTAAATCTCAAGAGGCGATCTTCCAAAGATCATTTCTTCCCCAAATCATAGGTAAGTGATTCTTAACTCATTTCTTTCAATATTTCACTTCTTTTAACAAGATTTCATCCTAGAATCTAGGGTTTTCATGGTGGAAATGGGGATTTTTCGGTAGAAATTAGGAATTTCAAAATTTGGGGATTTAGACCTCAAATTGAGGTCGGATTCCAAAACCAATTGTATATCCGGGCTCGGGGGTGGATGGGTAATCGGGTTTTGGTACGAATTTTGGGTTTGGACCAAGCGAGCCCGGGTGTTGACTTTTGTTGACTTTTTCAAAAATAGCGTAAATTGAATTCCTTGCTATCATGGGTAGTTACTAAGGCTTAAATTGAATTGCTTGGTTGATAATTAGCTAGATTCTATTGGTCCGGAGGCTTGTGTGAAGTGAAAAGTGGTGATTGAGCCTTGAGTTTGGCCGAAGGAGCGAGGTAAGTGTTGTGGCTAACCTTAGCTTGAGGGATTAGGTGTTATTTGCTTACTTGTTACGTGTTTGGATGTTGAGTACAACGTATAGGTGAGGTGATGAGTATCTATACGTTGTTGTTGAGTCATAGCATGTGAGTGAGTCTTGTTCTTGCAAATGTTGTATTTTTTATCATATTGTTCATGTGTAGACTAGTTATTCGATGTGTTGAGAAGTTTCTTATCATGTTTTATTCAATTTGGTGTTGATAGGGTTTTTACCCGAAGTTGAGATTGGTATTGTGGAACTAAGTATTGAAGTAAGGCTTGTTGTTGCCATTTCTATCTCCCTATTATTGTGGTCTCTGTTTTGGTGAGGAAGAGTGATAAAGCACGAAGGGTGATGTCGTGCACGTTTCTATTATTGTTTATCTAGTGAGGTTGAGGGTAAAAGCACGAAGGGTGATGCCGTGCACATTTTTATTATTCATGTGGTGAGGTTGAGTGGTAAAGCACGAAGGGTGATGCCGTGCACGTTTCTATTATTGCTTATCTAGTGAGGTTGAGATTAAAAGCACGAAGGGTGATGCGCTGTTGTGATTACCGGACCGGTTCAAGGTGTATTAGCTATTTAAATTCCTCTACTGCTGTGATCCATTATTTTGGTACCCCCTTAGCATGTTTCCCCTCCCATTAATTTCTGCTTAGCTTCTATTAGTTGTTATTCTGCTAGCATATTGTTGAACTGCACAGGTTTATGTATGTGTCTTGTCCTAGCCTCGTCACTACTTCGCCGAGGTTCGGCTCGTAACTTACCAGTACATGGGGTCGGTTGTACTAATACTACACTCTGCACTTTCTATGCAGATTTCGGTACTGGACCGTGTTGACCCGAGTTGAGTTGCTGGCTTCAATCCTAAAGGAGACCCAACGTAGATCTGTCGCCGTTCGCAGACCCTGGAGTCCCCTTCCAATTATTCTAGTTTAGTGTTTGTAATTCAAAGACAGTTGTATTTTCTTTCTGCCAGTATTTGTAGTGACTCTTAGAAGTTCGTGAATTATGACACCAGTTTCTGGGTAATTGTGTATAAGTTCACGGGTTATTATGAAATTCTGCACTCTTTTAATCTGTTTTGGTTTAATTGATGTTATTTACTGATTTGGGCAAGGGTTAGTGTATTAAATCCTTAACCTTTGGCTTGCCTAGCATCCGAAAAGTTAGGCGCCATGACAGTCCCGACGGTGGAAAATTCGGGCCGTGACATGCTCAATTACTAATGCAATTAGCTCTTTTCGGGATTCGATTTCAAGGAGTATAAAGCTTTTCTTCTGAAGCCAGGGGCGTATGTAGCACGTAAGTTATGGAACCCATAAAGTTTAAATCTTGAATCCGTTTCTATCTGAAGCGTCTTAATTAATTCGTAGCTGCCGAAGTGTAGCATTGAGGTGAGGAGCGCAAAAGAAACAAAAAAAGGCATGTAATAAGATTTGGGCCTAGTATATCTTTGCGATACTTAACCAATCAGATAAATTATTGGGCCTGACTTAGGTATTTGGTTAACCCAATTTTTGATGCACAAGCATCCAAATATGTATATCTCCATTTTAAACCACACAAAAACGACGTTATAGAGATAGAATCCACACATGTATTTGGTGAAGCCACTGAAGAAATAAACACAATAAGCTTTTCTACGCCCCCCCCCCCCTACCCCACCCCAACCCCCAATTATCGAAACAATGAATGTGCTCAAAACTTGTGGAGAAAATTACCATCAATTATTAGTACCTCCATTGAATTCCAAATATAGAAATGCAAATGCTAATTTTGCAGAATCATTAAAGTTTGCTCATAAAAACAGAAGAAAGCAGGCGGTAGTGAGAGGAAGTAGTGGAGGGGAAAGACGTAGTTTCTTGACACTAGAAGAAGCTGGCCTTGTCGAAGTGTCTGGCCTCAGCACTCACGAACGTTTTCTATGTCGATTGACGGTACGTTATGGATTTAACTTATATATACTGACAGTACAATTAAGTTTACATTATGTAGTGCATTCTAGCTTGTTATAACATGTGGTTTGCTTTATTTTCTATATTACCAAGTTATTATAGTCAGTAACATGTTGCTAATGTATATCATCTTAACCTTATGGTGTAAAAAGGTTATACATTATTAGTGTATAAAAATTAAACTCGTATACTATATTCTTTTCAAAAAAATTTGGGATGGGAATAAGTTTGTGAATAGAGGACAAATAGAAGTGAGCAAAAGGAGTAAATTCGAACCACAGGAAAAAAAGTATGATGAGACATAATTTTGTTGAAATTTATAAATGAAGAGGCTCTTAGATTTTTGTAAGTATAATCAATACAATTGTTTTGTGCAGATTTCGTCACTGAATTTATTAAGAGTGATAGCAGAGCAAGAAGGTTGTTCAATTGAGGAATTGAATGCTGGTAGGATATGTGATTGGTTCTTGAAAGATAAGCTAAAGAGAGAACAGAATTTGGATTCTGCTGTCCTTCAATGGGATGAATCCGACTTCCAGCTATAATTCCAGCCTCTGAATAGTAGCTGACTCAGTTCTTCTCATATTGAAAGGAATAAATGAGGAAAAATCAACAAAACATCAACTTTTTCCTACTAATACTCCATATCTTCTTTATTTACTAGGCATGCGACCTTTCTCGGGACCCTACATAAATACGGGATATTTTAGGTTTGGGATGTCACTAAAATCTATCATTAGATAGATTAATTTTGTTGTTCGCTTCTGTTATCTTAATACCTTGTTGTTATTGTTTGTTAATTTCTTTTCACTATCCATTGAGCCGAGGAAATATCGAAAATAGCTTCTCTATCTTTACCTTGTAAAGGTAATATCTACGTGCATATTACCCTCCCTAAACCCCACTTGTCGTTGTTGTTGTAGATAGGTTAATTTCACGGATGATCATCATGGTCATTAGATAGGTTAATTCCACGGATAATCATCATCCTTTCAGTTTATTGTATCAAAGTCATATAAATTATTTTGTCTAAATAAGGAAAAAAAAACTCATTAGGCATATAAGACTAGAAAATGCTAAATTTGGTTGCGGAAATATTAAGTACACTATCATTTCAACAATTCATCTTACATAACATCCACGTATACGACTAAAAACGTTTTAAGCCAAAAAACAATTTTTTTTTGAATTCGCTAATCAATCAAGGACCTTCCTCCTACTTGCTAAGTTAAGCAAATTGATACTACTTCAAGGGATATTGTACGTTAAATTTGTAGTCGGGGATTGTCCTCCTGATTAATACTTGCGAAATTTGCTTCTTTAGGGATGCTTTCTTTGAAGGCGCACGTTAAGTAGGGTTAGCTAACTTACGCACAACGACGATGGCTCGACGAAAATCACAGATAATTGCACCGCCTACAATACCAGATATGGATGAAGGAGGTAGATTGGTAACACCTGAATCAGGGTTACCACAAATGATAGGCCAAATGCAACTAGTTCACTGGATGACTGGAATGGGAAGTGCACCAACCGTCATGCAAGCTTCAAAATGTGTTGACATGGAGAAGCCCAAACCAGTAGAGATAGATGTTAACACAACAGCAAAGAAGCTGACTTTCTCAGTGCAACAACCAAACCCTAGTCGATCAGAGCCGACTCTAGCTGATGTAGTCAAAGGAAATACATCTCAGCAACAAGGGATGCAATTGGAATATTATCCACCAATTTTGAAGGAAGGAGTGAAGATTATTCGACTAAATCAAGCAGAGGTGGCAGAGCGAACCCAGAAATGGAAAGCAGCACTAATTGGATATGTACTGGGTGGAACTCCCTCCTTCAAGGAAATGCTAAAATTTGTGTATGGTGTGTGGAATTTCATCACAACACCACAAGTATTCCTACACGATGATGGGTACTTTATATTTAGATTTTGCTATGAGGAAGATAAGAACAAAATTATATAGCAAGGTCCACATACATATCATAATAGACCCATGATATTGAAGCAATGGGTGCCTAATTTCCAGATGAGTAAAGAAGTGACTCGAACTGTGCCAAGTTGGGTCATATTTCCAGGATTACCAATTCAATTCTGGACTAAGGAGAATTTGGGACGTATATCCAGCTATCTAGGAAGACTTATATGTTCAGATAAACTCACAGTTGAGGGGGATAGGACTTCCTATGCGCGTATGCGTATTGAAATAGATATATCTCAGGAGGTACCAGATACAATGCTTATAGAGGAAGCGGGTGGCAAATATAGAGAACAAGTTCTTGATTATGAATGGAAACCTTCATTCTGTGAGGGGTGTTTTCAAATAGGACAACATGCTAACAACTGTGAGAAGGCTCCATCAGTAATGCAACAGAAGCAAAACAATGAACACAAAGACAACATGGAGAAACATGATAAACAGCAGAGGCAGATGAAAGCAGTTAAGCAACAGTAGAGAAAATAGCCTGCTGCCCAGTGGAGAGTTAAACCTGTTGTTGAGCACACAAAAGAGCAGGAAAACCAAAATCCTGAACAAGCACAGAAATAACAGGAAATTCAAACTAGTACAGACCAAATTAATGAACAAGAGGTGGAAATGCAGCCACAACAAAAATCGAGAGGGAAGCAAAAGATGAAAGCTCAAGGACAAACGCAACAGAAAGGAGCCCTAACTGATGCTGATTTAGAGAATATGCTGAGGGAAAACAGATACAGTCCATTGAGAATACAAGAAGATAGCAGCACTGAAAAGGTGACTGAAGGGATTGGCCTCAACGAGGAAAATCCACCATGATAATAAGCTCCTGGAATACAATGGGGCTGACAAGCCCTTTAAGCAGAAAGAACTCAAGGCCTTTCTGCTGAAACACAAGATCACTTTACTACGCTGCCTTGAGACAAAGATAAAGCCTGGGAGTGTTAGCAAAGTTAAAGGAAAGTTTTGTAAAGAATGAAAAGTGTATTCAGATGAAGCTATAAGTAAAATTGGGAGAATCTGGCTCTTTTGGAAGGAAAACATGGTGCAAGTCCCATACTTCTGGTAACTACCCAACTGATACACTGCCAAGTGAAGGATAAAGGATCACCATTTTCATGTTACATAACATTTGTATATGGGAAGAACAAGATAAACGAAAGGTGGGATCTATGGGAACAACTCAGACAGATTCATAGAACTATGCATGAGGCTTGGTTAATCTTAGGGGATTTCAACAATGTTTTGTCTGTCAGTGATAGGATCAATAGGCAACCTGTGCATCAAGCTGAACTTGTGGACTTTCAAGAATGCATAAAGAATATTGGATTGGGGCAGTTAAATAGGGCACTTAGATAGGAAAGGTAGTCAATGGTTATGTTATAATAAAAGGGATGCAGGGATTAGAATATATAGCAACATTGATTAGGTATTTGGGAATGCTTCTTGGCTTACGCGTTACAGTAGCCTAGAGGCTATTTTTGAAATGCCTGGAGTATCTGACCATTCCCATATTATTATCAACACAGATGTAGCCAAAAATCACTTGCCAAAGCCTTTTAGACTATATAATGTGCTGCTAAATCATAAGCAGTTTAAAGGGGTTGTCCATGAGGTGTGAAACCAACAAGCACAGGGCATACCATGTACTCACTTTGGCTGAAATTACAGAGGCTAAAAGTCAAAACACAACAAATGAACAAGGAGATATCTTCACTGGAGAAGAAGCTTGGCAATCTTAGGGTGTAGCTGCAGAATACCCAAGGAAAACTTGATGAAGATCCATTCAATACCTAATTAATATCCAAGAAAAAGGAATTGCTTCTGCAGATTGAAAGATGGGAAGGGGTAAATGAACAAGTACTTAGACAGAGATCCAGAGCAATGTGGATAAAAGCAGGTGATCAAAACACTAAATTCTTTTATGCTCACTTGAAGGCCATCCAATCTAGGAACACTAAATTCTTTTATGCTCACTTGAAGGCCAGACAATCTAGGAACAGAATAGCATCTATATGCAATGATCAAGGGCTTAGAGTGGCAGAGCCAGTATTGATAGAACAAGAATTTAGAGGTTTCTTTCAAACACTCTTGGGCACTTCAGCTACAGAACTTCCTTGCATTGATACTGATACAGCCAAGAATGGGCACTGTCTAACCAAGGAGCAACAACAACTACTCAATGTACAAGTAACAGAAGAGGACATTGACCAAGCCCTTAAAGACTTGCCAAATGATAAGGCTCCAGGGATAGATGGATTTCCAGCTGAGTTCTTCAAGGCATACTGGTATATTATTAGAGGAGAGGTTAAACGAGCAGTACAAGAGTTTTTCACTAATGAAAAACTATTGAAAAGTGTCAATTGTACAACAGTAATATTGGTGCCTAAGGTTGCTAGCACCAGATCTATCAAAGAATATCGACCTATAGCATGTTTTCCCACTGTGTACAAGATCATCTCAAAGATCATTACAACAAAGTTGAAGATGGTGGTGAATTCCATTGTGGGACAGCCTTCATTGAAGGGAGAAACATACTGGATAATGTCATCGTTGCCCATGAACTGGTCAAGGGATATACTCGAAAAGGGGTCTCACCAAGATGCTGCATTAAAGTAGACATAGGAAAAGTTTATGACTCAGTCGAATGGCATTTTCTAAAGATGATACTGCTAGAGTCGAATGGCATGGGATACAATTTGTATGCCATTATCAGTAGGTGGACTAAATGTTCTGGATATTCACTTCTAGAATAAGGCTGCCTTATGCTAACTGATGTGGGCTATAAGTGCAAAGAAGGACACCCTGTGGATCCAATGGATCCATAGCTTCTACATTGAATATTAAAATGTCATGACAATGGGCACTCCTAAGCAAGCTTGTGGGCTTATTAGGAAGATTTTTTATGCCAGGGACTAGTTCATTGAAAAAAGCCCAGCTGTTGATTTGAACAGTTACCATAAGCAAAGAAAAATCAGCATCAAGCAGCTCTATATTGCAACAAGACCTCAGTACCAGAAGAGTCCTTGGAAGAGATTAACAATAGGATCCAAAGCACTGCCAAAACACCAGTTCATACTCTGGTTGGCATTACATCAAAGATTAGCCATAATTGATCGACCAAGGAGATGGGGAATACCAGTAACAAGCGACTGTGTACTATGTGGAAAGAATGTGGAGGAGACAATGGAACATATGATGTTTGCATGTGATTACTCCAGAACTATATGGGCTACATTACTGCAGTGGATAGGAGAAAGGCATCAAATTGGAAGCTAGGAGAGCTGCCAGCAAGGTTAGAGGTAATATGCTAGTGTTTCTATTTGCAGCAGTGGTCTACCACACCTGGGCAGAGAGAAACCAAAGAAGATTTCAAGGAAAGATGATTGCTTGCACTCAGAGGATTAAAGACATTGTATTGGAATTGCACGCCAGAGGGCAGAGTGAATCCAAATGGCAAAAAGAATTAGAAAGGCTAAAGAATTTTCCTACCTAGATTGAGTTAATTGTAAGTGTAGCAGGAAAATGTTTAATCTGTTTGGTCATATAGTTATTAGATAGGGTCTAGCTCTAGAGTCCAATTGAGCTAGCAATTGTAAATACTTATACTTGGTTAAATAAAAATTTGACAGTTCAACCAAAAAAAATACTTTCGAGGTTTCCTGTAATTTCAATATGTGACACCAAAATTCATGTTTAGGATCTAAACTTCTCGAGCTGAACTAGGACTGTTTTATTTTATAAATATGAATTTGCCCAATACTTTTAAACCCTTGATGGGTGGAGGAGATTGGCTGTATGGCCTCTTATAAATATTTTTAATTAAAGATTAATAAAATATAACATGTGAGATTAATAAATAAAATATACTTTTATGTATTTATAAGCTTTTTTTTTTTCTATTCAAATTATAACTGGTCAAACGAGGTCATTTCCTCCGATAAGCTGGCTTTTTAAGGCTGAAAATTTGTAACAAATAACACGTTCTTCATTTTGTAAATAAGTCCATAATTTATGGTGCAAATTTTTTTTTACATTATCAAGGAATATAATTTAAATCTTTTACAAAAAACAATAGGGTGCCTATGGTTAAACAAAGTTAATTGTATCTAAAACATCATCATACCATCGTCCTATGAGTTGCCAAGTCATCTCGCCGGAAAATTCGCCGGAGTCAGATCAATCTCGATCAAATTCTCTTCTTCAGCTTCACAAGTCCTCTTCCCGTCCAATTCAATCTCTATCAATCCTTCCTTACCTTCTTCCTCCCACCGGAAACACAAATTCTCCGGCGAGTCCCAATTCCCGGTAACCGGTGAATCCCCGCCCGACGAACTTTCCGTACCCGTATCCGTTTCCGGGTAATAGAATTCCCCATCTTCAAACTCCTCGTGAATCACCTGCAGTGGAGCTCTCACGTTCCATTCAACGAATGATTCTGCGTAAAACGGATTCAGTTTCGGGTCAAAATCTGGGTCTTGCTCGGTTTTGAGGTCCACACTGGATTCGCGCGGCACCCGTTTGTAATCATGATCACCCGAAAGTATAAATGGAACCGGTTTCGGGTTCGGGTCAAAATCCGCGCCTTGTTCAGTGTTCGGGTCCACATGGGATTCGCGTGACTCCCATTTGGAATCATGATCACCCGAAGCTTGAAATGGAACCGGTTTCGGGTTTGGGTCAACACGCGAAACCAGTGATGATGATTTTTGGGTGGAAATGAATTCTTCTAAATTGGGTTTCTTTTCTTTTCCTTGGTGATTTTCCTCTTGGTTGGTTTTCTGAGTTTGACCAAGTCTTAGAAGGGAAAGTAAAAGAAGTGAAGTGGAAAGGAAAACGGGAGAGAAAAGAATTGTTTGGTAATTGGTGGGGAAGTAGAGAAGAATGAGAGTGTAAAGAGTGATGATGATTGAGAAGAGGGGGTTTGAAGATGGAGAGGAAATTGTTTTTTTGTACAAAGCCATAGTATTGGGACTGATTTGAAGGGAAAAGAATTTATTTTGCTTGATGTTTCATTTTTAAAAAGAGATAGAGAGAGGAGAATTAGGGGTGTGCATTCGATTTATCGATTCGATTTTGACCCTTATCGATAATTACTTATCGAATATCGATTTGTACATATGCTTATCGTTATCGTTTCAATAAGGTTTCGATTTTTTCGATTTCGATTTATCGATTTTGGGGGCTTATCGATTCGGTTATCGATTACACCAATAAGAAAATTTGCGGGATTCCACGGAAAGTATATCGCTATAAACGCGCCTAACTAATATGGACAAAAAGAAGCTAAAATAAGACGCACACCATTTATAATATAAAAATTGTGTCAACAAGCACATGCAACAAAACTAAAGTAAGGGATCAAATGTATGCCACTGATAATAGGTGAATTTGACTATAATCACACCTTAAATAATCACCTTCTTGTGTAGTTTTAATGCTAAAAGTGATAACAAAATGCTCTTATTAGTGCTTTTCATGATTTGCAGGTGATATGTGTACAAGGAATGCTAAGGAGCAGTTTTGGAGTCAAAAATTGGAGAAAAGAGGCCAAATGTGTAAATTCCCAATGAAGCCACGCCCTGCCAGCCCTTAGAATTCAGAGAACTGGTTTGGCCGCGGTTCTACCGCGACCGCGGCAGAACCGCGGTGGAAAGCAGCTGCAGAACTTCAGTGATTCCGCGAGGGTGATTGGCCGCGGTTCTACCGCGACCGCGGCAGGCGCAGAAAGCTCAGGGGTCAAAGTGTCAAATACGAGATTTTTAGACCCAAACCCTATTTAAAACATTAGACTTCGCCCAAGAGAGGCATGTATTGATTTTTAAGGTTTCTTAGCAAGGGAAACCATTGTGAGAGAATACTCCAACCATCTTTCTTCCTTTCTTTTGATTTTTATGATGAATTCAATCTTAGTTTATTTTCCCATAGCCATGAGTAGCTAAATTCCTTGTCTAAGGTTTTGATGGAACCTATTGGGTGATGAACTTCTTGTTTATGTGAATACAAAAAATTGCTAGTTTAATCTCTATTTGTTCAACTTCGTGTCTGTTGTAGTTAATTGACAGGATCCTCAATTAGCTGTGCCTATTTAGTGTGCATAACTTGGAAAAGAGTGCATATTTAGGGTATTGTTGAACAACACCACTCCTAGATTATTAGAGGAATCTATAATTGCGGGTTTAAAGGCGGGATTAGGGATAACGAAGCCTTGGGTGTAATCTAAAGTGAATCGTGCTAAATAAAGTAAGCTAGTGTATCTCGGGAGAGTGCAATAGTAAATTACTGTGACTACTCGGGAGAGATTTGCGGTAAGATTAGCGTTCATGATTGATAAAGAGGTGTGATAAATTTGTATGAGCATAAACAGAAGGGATTCCATCAATAGGGGAAATCATTGCCTTAGCTTTTCCTCATAATTGTTTACAACCTTATTAGTTTAGTTTACAGCTATTTAGTTACTTGCAAGCNTCTATTTAGATAGGCCCGAATGACCCCTTCTCATAATGAGAATGTATATAACCCTATTCCGGCCTGGTCCGGTATGGAATGAACTTATAATCATGGAATCGACTCGATCATCAGATTATAAGTTCATAACCCTAGCCCATTCCCATTTTGGGCGGAACAGATCTACTAATTCTTTGATTCCAGTTAGTAAGAGGGATCTTGAACTAAGAAATAGACCCTAGAAGCTAAAAAAGGCTATCCTGAGCAATTGCAATAATCGGGTTCATTGATATTCCTGGTATAGTAGATGCTATCACACATACAATCATACTCAATTCGATGGGCATTCTGTATGTTATATTAATCTACACAAATAGGTAATTACTCATTTAACAAGTGTCTACAGTCTAGGGGTGTGCATTCGATTTATCGATTCGATTTTGACCCTTATCGATAATTACTTATCGATTATCGATTTGTACATATGCTTATCGTTATCGTTTCAATAAGGTTTCGATTTTTTCGATTTCAATTTCGATAACAAAATAATCAATTCGATTTATCGATAAACCGATTCGAATGAACACCCCTAATTAAACCTGTAANAGCCATGAGTAGCTAAATTTCTGTTAAGGTTTTGATGGAACCTATGGGTGATGAACTTCTTGTTTATGTGAATCAAATTGCTAGTTTAATCTCTATTTGTTCAACTTCGTGTCTGTTGTAGTTAATTGACAGGATCCTCAATTAGCTGTGCCTATTTAGTGTGCATAACTTGGAAAAGAGTGCATATTTAGGGTATTGTTGAACAACACCACTCCTAGATTATTAGAGGAATCTATAATTGCGGGTTTAAAGGCGGGATTAGGGATAACGAAGCCTTGGGTGTAATCTAAAGTGAATCGTGCTAAATAAAGTAAGCTAGTGTATCTCGGGAGAGTGCAATAGTAAATTACTGTGACTACTCGGGAGAGATTTACGGTAAGATTAGCGTTCATGATTGATAGAGATGTGTTGGTAAATTTGTATGAGCATAAACATAAGGGATTCCATCAATAGGGGAAATCATTGCCTTAGCATTTTTCTCATAATTGTTTACAACCTTATTAGTTTAGTTTACACCTATTTAGTTACTTGCAAGCTAGTTGTTAAAGAACACTCAACTGAGATTTGAATATTTGGGAAGCTCGTTCTGAAGAATTAGTGGGTCTGAAGATAGTGGTTGATAGGTTAACTCTCTGTGGATTCGACCCTGGGCGTAATACTCGGGTTATATTTGCAACGTCCGCAGAGTCCTTTTAATAAGGCATAGTTGGGCGAGATCAGCCACCACACTCCAACGGTATAAAAAAAATAAAACAAAACAAAACAAAACACATCATCACGGCTAATTCTGTTTTCCATTAATTTGAACTTCATTCTCTTGATCTTTAAATATGATCATTCCTTAAATATGGTAGAGGAAATAATAGGGTATGGGACTTAGGGTAAAGGAAAGGGTATAGATTAGGGAAAATAATATTGTATAGCCGCTTTCAAAATAGTAGCGGAATATATATACATTCTGTATGTTATATTAATCTACACAAATAGGTAATTACTCATTTAACAAGTGTCTACAGTCTAGGGGTGTGCATTCGATTTATCGATTCGATTTTGACCCTTATCGATAATTACTTATCGATTATCGATTTGTACATATGCTTATCGTTATCGTTTCAATAAGGTTTCGATTTTTTCGATTTCAATTTCGATAACAAAATAATCAATTCGATTTATCGATAAACCGATTCGAATGAACACCCCTAAGGAGAATGAATTCCATGTTTAAATTACGGGCAAGAAAGGGTGCAATGAATTGAATAGAGCAAGACAGGAAGGAATGGAATTTTCAGGATTATAGCCCTTTGGTAAAGCTTTTCTTTGCCAACAATGTATTTTTTTTTTTTTGTCAAAATAATTTTTGTTATCAAAATTAAGTTATTTGGCCAAGTTTTTAGAAGAAAAAATAAGTATATTTGAATAGAAGCAGAAACAGTTTTTTAAAAGCAAAAAAAAAAATAGTTTCTCCCCAAAAGCACTTTTGAGAAAAATATACTTAAAAAATACTTTTTAAAAGTTTGGGCAAACACTTTTCTAATTAACTAGTTTTAGGGTACGTGCGTTGCACGTAAATTTTACATCTTTCAATGGAAGTCTATAGAATATAAAATAATAATAAATTATGAATATAGATTTGAACTCACAATAAGGATTGAATAAATTAGGAAAATTTATTACCTTATGCATCAACGCCACTGCAATTAGTTCAGCTGAACAACACACACCATCAATTTTTAAGTTTGCCATGTATCTAAGTGTAACTTATTTAAAGATTTTTTATAATACCACACAAAGTATTATTATAGATTTACATATTAATATCGTATAGATTCAAAAGAAGACTTGAACAAAATATAAGGATTCATCATATTAGAAAAATTATTTTCTAATGCACTAACGATAAAATATACAATAATTAGTTCACATAAGTTGAATGACACAAACCAACTTTCTTCAAGTTTGCCCAATATCAAAATGTAGTTTATTTACATATAATTTTTTATAATATCAAGCAAAAATTTATTTACCGCTTGACATATTAAAACGAAATATATAGATTCAAAAGAATAACTTAGACAAAAAAAAAGGATTGAAAAAAATAAAAAAAAATGCACTGATGCCACAATATACAATAATTAGCTTGCATAAGTTGATGAACAATAGACAACCTTCAAGTTTGTCTAGTAGTCAAGTGTACTTCAATTTTTTTTAATAATATTAAACAAAGGTTTATTTACAAATTTACATATTAATACCAAATAAAAATTTATATATTTAAATATTTTCTTATAAGTAGTTTATTTACCATCTCTCTAAATTCAATTAATGGGATATAACTTTCAAAATGTAATAAATTATTTTCGTCTGCAATACAACTATAGTGATTAGAAAAATTTTATATTTAAGTGAGACAACAAAATTTTGCACCACACCTTAAAACTAATACTCTTTATATAGTTACGATGAAGAATGTAAAACTAGCATTCAGAGTAGATTCTATAACAATCATTTGTCATGAGATAATAAAATTAGTTACATAGANNNGTGTGAGTTCTTAACCGGCCAACACTACGGTCCCATACACATGGCAGGCCTAACCACTGCTCTATAAAACTTACCTTTTAGTGACGGTGGCACTTTCTTGTCACACAGGACTCCCGTCGCTAACCTCCACTTCATCCACCCCACCCCTATACGGTGTGTGACATCCTCGTCGATCTCCCCGATCCCCTGAATAACTGACCCAAGGTATACTTGAAACTACCCCTCTTAGGAATGACTTGAGAGCCAAGCCTCACTTCCACTCCTGCTTCCGTCGGCTCGGCCCCAAATTTGCACTCGAGGTATTCCGTCTTCGTCCTGCTCAACCTGAAACCTTTAGACTCAAGGGCATGTCTCCAAACCTCTAGCCTCTCGTTGACGCCGCGTCGTGTCTCGTCAATTAGGACTATGTCATCAGCAAATAGTGATTAGAAA